CCCCCCGCCCCCCATATTTTGTTTTCTGTTTGTAAAGCTTTATACATTTCAGTTTTTCGTCATCTTTTCAGATCATTATCTTATTTTTTCATCTTTCTTTTCAAGAAACTTCTCATTTTCCCATCTGCCACCATCTTCAGTATACTACTTCTCCCTTTAGGATTTCTTTTATCCTTCTCATCTTTATGCCTTTCACTTACTCTTCCCCAGACCCTTCATTCTTGCTTTGCTTGTCAAAACTGTGCTTCTTCCTCCTTCATGGGGGAAGAAGTGGGAAGGTTGGGTGGATTTTTTTTGCTATGAACACCCAGGAATGCTCCAATCAATACTTCAAAACCCTGCAGAGGAGAGCTTGCATGAGTCTTTCAACACTTTTAAAATTTGCAACAGCAGTTAATGGAAGTCTGACTAATGCTTGAAAATCAGCAGCTTATTTTAAAGCTGTGCTGTAGCTTCCCACCAATAACATTATCAGGCCTTCCCCAACAAGCTTTTATTTTTACATCAGAAACTCTACTTCGTGCTTTGAAACCCTTGTAGCCCCATAGCAACTTCTCTTTTTCTAAACCCCAAGACACAGAGCAGAGGATGGACAGAGTCTCAGATACCACCCGGATGCCTTTAGCTCTGGCTGGATTCTTCTCAAATCAAAGGAGGGCCAATCACAGAAAACCACGTCCAGGTGTACCCAGGGAGATTTCAGAAGAGCGGTAAATACAGTTTAGCTGGAAGTGAGCATATGTAAAATGTCTTCAAGTCTGAAAGTAGGGCTGCAGGCACCTGTCAGGAGAGCAGCAGCTCAGCCCTGTGGGCATTGTCACTCCGACGGCTGAGGTAGCATTCAGTGCCAGGGAAGGATACTGGGGGACAGATCTAGACCCTCTTCACCCCTTCCCAATAAAAGTGCCCTTGCTATTTATTTTGTTCCAAAAGGAATTTGCAATAGTAGTTTGGGGATCTTCTGACATTTCACTGACATTTCTTCAGGGATTTTTGTAGCATGATTATTATTGTCATTAGGTACCTTCACGTGTTAATGCTTACACTAGATTTAATTCTGTGTATTCCAGCCAGGGGCCAGTTTTTGCTGTGAATTCTTAACATGCACCCAACCTAGTGCCTCCATGGGCCTGTTTCAGTTGGACCTGTTCCCCTAGACAGATCACTTAACAGGTCTGGAAAATCCTCTGCAGAACTTGCAACAGATAGAATTGACTGTTCCTGACAAGTCTACCATTTTTACTGTTTTCCATCTGCCTACCAAGACTGCCTCATTCATCTCAAGTACCAAAGACCACTTAAAATGTGTCTAAAACTTGATGCCAACTTCCTAGCCCTGCTTGCCAATTCAAAAAATCTGTTGTAAAATATATGTCAATACATTTATTCCCAGACTAAGGCAACCATGCATTACTTAAATGCTGAGGTAATCCTAAATGCGATCGAGAGGCTGGTGCTGACAACAGTCTTCAGATACAAACCGGCTTTTGTAGAAAGTATAATTTTTATCATGAGATACTAAAACCCTTTTCTTCTCTCGTTGAACACAAGAGGCCTGATTCGGCAGTCTGGGCGTGTTTCCTTGGCTTGCTGTCCAGATGGCAGCTGAAACTCGGCAAGGGGTTGCTCAGGTATGAAAATTTGTTCTTGCTCCTTGGGTTTCCTGGTTAGCTTTTCCTCTGCTAAGACTAAAACTGTTTGGAAATCACTGTCTGTAGATTTTATGTTTTTCTTCCACACTGGTAAGACCTGAAGCTATTTGAGATGTTAAACAATTTGAAGCTTCTGAGCTTGGTTGTGGTACCGGCTTTGTACAGATAAATATAGAACCTGTGGCATTTTCAAAAGCCATTTGGAACAGCTCTTCAATACAAGCACTTTCAGCAGAGATTAAACACATTATTTGGGTTTTCTGCTGAAAAAAAAAAATCACTTAAAAAATTGGCAGAAATACCATTTTCTTCAAATGAGAAAGTTCTCTTTCCCCAAATTGAGGCTGGCAATTGGCAGCTCTTTATAAAGACAGGGTTTTTTTTTTCTTCCCTCTCTCCCTTCCCCTACTCCTTGATTTCAAAATAACCTTCAAGGCAAAAAAGCAGGACATAGTAATGTAAAAAAGAAATAGAAACTGGTTAAAATCTTTCACTCCTTGAACAGAATGTTTTACATTTTAACTAACTTGTATCAGATAAAATGCTATCACATTCCTACACAAGAAATTAACACATTGCAGGAAACTGGACACATACACTTCTCAAGGAATTCAATATTCAGAAGTCCTATTAAAGAAACTGAAACACAATACAAATAAAGACCTTTATTAAAATCACTTGGAATATTATATGAAATTTAATACTGTATAATATAGGTGCAAACCCCCTGATACTAACAGGACATGATACATGTGAAGAGAGGATATTAATATGCATATAAATAGAAAAGCTAAAATGTGTTTGACAGTGTTATATTAAATGGCTACATAAATGTGACCATAATTAGAAGAATATGTAATTTTGTATTCCTTAAGCAGTATCTTCTAAAGCAGTATACATAGGAAATTGCTTTTACCTCTAGTGTCTGCTTTCTTATGAGTAACAGGAGATGCGTAGGAATATTATAGGCACATGCAAAAGCAATGTAAAAGGTATAAAAACAGAGGCAGAAGCCAGAGACTTATTTGTTCTTGGCTGCCAGAGGCTTACGGCTGATCTTCTTTGACTTGTCATTGTTCTTCTTTGGAGGTTCAGGATTCGCCTGCATGTGTCTGCCATAAAGACTGTAAGGAAGTGAGACAAAGAATATTCGTGATACAACCATTAAACACAGGCTTTTACTCTGCAGCATGTTAAACAATGCATCTAGTAACTAGAAATTAAAAAAGGAAGGTAATTATATTTATTTTGCCCCAACACACTGAATTTTCTATTAGATCTCATGCTGCAGCCCACATCAGGTTTTTCACTTATCAGGAGAGTAACACTGGGAAGAACCGGCCTTTGGAGCATTGAAAGAGCAATCAGTTTTGCCTTCAGAAACTGGCAACCTTTAGTCTGCAGTTATGGGATTAAGGCTCAGAAGGCTGCAAGGATGTGTATTCAAGCCGACAGTGACAAAAATTGGGTTGAACTGGAGAGATAGAGTACCCACTTAGAGCAAAGTGAGCATCATCCCTAACCAAAAAACCCAAGGGCTTGATAATGTGACAGAGAGCAATGGTGTCACAGCCGCCTTTGCTGCTCACACATGATTGATAATACTGGGACAGCTACCAACACATCAATGCCACATTAGTAAGTACCACTGATTAAATGTTGACAAAGTATCCTACAATTAAGATGGCTGGCATTCAAAGCAAAGCTAAATAGACTACATGGCTGAGAGGATCTTGCTAAATATCACATAGTAATTAATAGATAATTTATGAGTAATCCTGATTAAACTAAATTAAAAACCTACCCAAAATAAACAGCTCAGACTTAACTTCCCTTATTGACAAAGAGTGCTTTCTGAAGACGTGCTTTTTGGGGGTGTCAGTGCATCTAGAAGGGAACAGAGTCAAGCTTTGTTTCTGCTCATTCAGCTGTATAAACACCGACAATGCTGACACCAATAATGGAATCCCTCTGAAAGGTGTTCCCTTGCTAACACTTCAGATTGATGCTGGTGAGCGTCCACCCCAATCCCGTACTAGGCTTGGCAGTGAAGATGGACACTTCACTTCTACCACTTGATAGGAATTCTGCTACTGAAGATGATAATGGCACCAGTTCCAAAAACAGCCTTCCTTGTGTTACTGCACCTCCACCTTTTGGTGGCCTTTGTCAAGAAACAGGACTTGGGATCAGGGGCTTGGGGTTGAGAAACTCCGAGTCTTCCTAGAAGTGCCTTTTGATCTGTCAAAATCTGAGTGGGTAGCTGCCAGCACTGTCACCAACAGAAGCCGAGTCCTGCATTTTCATGTGTCTAGGGCACACAGAAGGTCCCAGCTGTCGCAAGTGAGCTGCACTGGTCCATCACACACACCCTCGCACTCACTCTCCCCCATTGCCGTCCATGCATGTAGCTTGCATGTCTGCCCTGTAAACAAGGACCAGGTACAGATCCTTTTGCTACTCTTGCTTAATCATGTCAGAAGTGACTTAGTTACTCATGATATGTTGTAGCTTATACAGAAAGCATGATCTCATATACAGTTCTGCAGTGGGTATCACCCTGAGTGGGTATCTCAGAGATAAAGTGATTATTTACAGTGATCTCTTTTGCTTTGCAGGCTGAAATTAATTTCAGCAGAGGATGGGCCCTCCTTCTTCTACAGGGTCTGGTGGACTATGTAGTCAACTTTATACAAAAGACTTTGAACAAGGATGCAAAGAGATAGAAATACCTTGAATTACTGTGCTATAAGGCATGGCCATGGAGGGATATTTATATCAGATACAGAGAGATTTTATCTAAGACGTACATTGTTCTCTACAGCCTCCTGAGGAGAGGAGGAGGAGAGGGAGGTGCTGATCTCTTCTCCCTGGTATCCTGTGACAGGACACGTAGGAATGGTTCAAAGCTGCTCCAGGGGAGGTTTAGACTGGACATTAGGAAGCATTTCTTTACCAAGAGGGTGGTCAAACACTGCAACAGGCTTCCTAGAGAGGTAGCCAATGCCCCAAGCCTGCAAGTATTTAAGAGGCATTTGGACAATGACCTTAATAACATGCTTTAACTTGGTCAGCCCTGAACTGACTTGGTTGGACTTGATTGTTGTAGGGCCCTTCCAACTGAAATCTCTATTCTATTCTATTCTATTCTATTCTATTCTATTCTATTCTATTCTATTCTATTCTATTCTATTCTATTCTATTCTATTCCATTCCATTCCATTCCGTTCCGTTCCATTCCATTCCCACCTGCTCTGAGTTTTATATTGCTGTATCTGGAAAATACTTCCACCCTGGGGTTCCTGGACTGCAGAATGGGATTAGAGCTTCTCATGTGGTGGGGTGGAAAGGCAGCACTTGCTTTCACCTCCTCAGCAGCTGCAGCTTTACATCATGCTGTTAAGCAGGCTGCTGTCAAGGTGCACTGTACCCAAAACAGCCTTGCTCAAGGAAAATACAACTGTAAACTACGACATCACTTCACCTTACTGAAATTTTATGTGTGCCATCACCTACTGTCAACAAGGGATTAGATGCCATTTCCCGATGAACACAGAGAGCCCTGACCCTCTGAGATAACTGCATGCTTACTACTAGCAACAATACACATATTTTTCTTTTCATAAGAGATACAGCCCCAACAGCACAAGGCTATATTTTATCCAAGTATACAGTATGCGTACTAATCAAATATCCATCCTAAATAACTGTTCTGTTTTGGAAGGTGTTAAGTGAGTTGAGGGAGGGAAGATATGAAAGGTGATGGTTTAGAATCAGGAAATGCTATAATTGTGGAAGAGCACAGAAGTGCCATTCAAGGAGGCTGTCCCATCAGAAACTGATCCAGAGTAGAAAAAGTCAGGGAATGATATGTCAAAAGTCAATGATATGCAGCGCAGCATTTAAACCACTGTCAGCAGTAACTTTTTAACTCCAAGAAGTTAGCAACAGAGAAGTGGAAACGCATGCTCAATTCTGTGAACACCAACAGTTATTTAAATACTAAATTAACATTCAAGTTGGTTTTTTGGCTCTAGAAAAATAATGCTATGTTGGAGTGGAATGTGAGGTTATTTCCTGTACTAAGAAAGTCCCCCTTTGTGACTTTAAGCATTGAATTAACAGAGAATCCACTGAGCCACTGTATCTGAGCACCAAACAACTTAGTGGATGTCAATAGAAGTACCCTGTCACTGTCCTGTCTCCTACATCCTGCTGTCCCACAGCTCCTCTGCCCTGTTAGCACCAACCCCCTAGAGAAGTCTTTTTCAGGTGTTACATACCCTTTTTTTGCTCAGCTTGGTTTAGGCTACACTTTTTTGCTTTGGAGACTGTATATGAATTTCCCTCTCAGATGACACTCCTGGCAATCATTCTGCTCTCATTTCCTGCCTTCTCAGTGCAAATGTTCAAGATTATGGACTGGCAGAGCTCAGATTAGCAAACTCTTTCTGAAGTAAAAAGGTGTGCTGGGAATTCTACTGACTATCCAGATGCTTTTGAAGTGCAGAGACCGAATATTGACAGTTTTGAATGAACTTCAGAGTTCTGGTAAAGTCTACTTGGGTAATACCTTTTTACTGCAAAATGAGGTCCAGCAGCCATGGCATGCATTAAGCAGTAAAAGTCCCAATTGGCCTGTAAGTATTTTTGGTAGCAGTTTTTCTTTGATATCTGCTCCTTATGATATTCAGTGCTATTGGCGCTCCAGCAATTCCCTCTGTCCCACAGAAATACTATGTTGGTAGTGGTAGATGTGCATGAGTTGCAGAGATCTGTAGCACTTTTACACTCTTTTCACTTATTCTCATGTCCAACCAATTCTATTTGCACATGCACTGAAGTTTCATCCAGGAAAATAAATTACTGGGTTTGAAAAAAGCAAATCAAATACATCTACTTAGGTTTCTCTGGCAAAATTTCAAGGAATTTTCAGCTGCACATTGCTATCTCAACTGAAGATAAGTGCTTTACAATCTATCACAGCAGTCTGCTACGCAAAGAGCAAGGATCAGACATATTTAGATTATACAAGCCTTCACAGACAGGGACTCTCTCTTGTGTTTGCACACATCAAATACTAGGAGACATATGGTGTCACAACAACATTTAAATACAATAATGACTGTGATAATGCCTCTGGGACAGAATTTGCCTTCTGTTACACTAGGGAAAAGAGAATTCACAATTTTCAATGAACTTCTGGTATGACAACCGGCACCACTTTCACAGCTCTGAAGTTAAAAAAACAAAACAAAACAAAAGAAAAAAAACCAAAAGAAAACCTAATGGAACTGATACACATGGAGAAGTAACTATCTGAATTACATAAGAATCTATAACCTTTTCACTGTAATAGAAGTGGAGTTTACATATCCACTCCTTAATGATTCCGATACCTACTGGAAGGATACAGCCACAGAAACCATAGCTTGCATGTCACCGTCTGTCAGCCAAGCTGTAACTGTGTACATGCTCTTGCTCTAGCATCACTACAAAGTCAAATTATGTTAGGCAGAGACACTCGCACACCATTCTCAGCAGCAGAGGTCAGCTTAAGACATGCACACGGACAGTTATGCAGCTCAGCTGATGGATGGCAATGAACAAGGAGTTGGCACCTTGACATATCTGCTTGTATGACTAGACCCTTAGCCAAGGCAGATGGTCTCCATAAACAGACAAAGGAATATTGAGGCAGATTGTGGCTACTGTTTCAAGGCAGATTTGTGAGATAAGTGCTGATAATACATTCATGGCAGCACCTTCACACTTGGTATTTTGGAACGTCACCTGTTCATGGGCCTGGTATAGCTCTGAGGAGGACACTACACGCAGCTAGCAGACCAAAACCTCACCTGAAGAATAAAATCTGAAAAGCAAATAAATATTTGAGATGTTTACAGTTTGCAACAACAGTCAGAAGCTAGTTATTATAACCACAGTTCACAAAATGCTGAACCTTTGTAGACTTAGCAGCTGCAGTATTGCATGCAGCCTTCTCATTATGTCAAAGGGGAGATTAAATGCAAGACTGAAAATGCAGAAAGCCCTCAGACAAAAATTTCCAGTTGCTTTCTTTCCTTGTATATATATTTTTCAAAGCAAATATCTCTCATGAACA